GGGTCAATTTCCCTCCCTATCTCTTATGTTGCTTTTCCTTCTTGTGGGGTGTCCCTGTTTCTCTTGAAGATGCAGAAAACGATTGAAAAGGACACCCGTTCCATCGCCCATGTGTAGGGAAAGAGAGAGAATCATGAGCATCAGCTGGGCTTGCTGCCAATCCAACATGGGCGTCCCTTTTAATCGCAGTCTGTGTCCTTTTTCTCGCTTGAAGATGCAGAAAACGATCCAAAAGCACATCTGTTGGAGGAAGAGAGAAGGAGAGAGGAGAGATACCAAGGATTGCATATTTAATGGGAAGAGCAAGGAAGAGAATAGAGGACAGATGAATAGAGAAGAGGGAGAGACAAAACAAGGCGCAGAGAAGATGGCACTCTTCTTTATCTATTCTCTCTCCCTTGTTTCTCCCTTCCCTCTTTCTTTTCGAAATGAGAAAAACAAAAAGGAAGAACTATGAGAAGGAGAAGAGTAAGGAAAGGAACAGAAGAGATAGGCCGAGAGGATGAATATGATGGAGTATTATGGAAAGGCTCACGCGCAAGGAGTCACCCTCTGCTTACCTTTCCACTGCTTTATCATATGAGTTCCTTTCTTGCGTTTTATCAGTTAAAAGGAAGCAGAAGAGAAGGGAAAAGCAAAAATTGAGCCCAACATTTTAGGACCAGGGCTTGCGATCTGACTCTTTGGAGCAAAAATCGATTCCAAAATCTTAGGGAACAGGGCTTGCGATGTTACTCTTTGGAGCAAGAAATGAGCCCAAAATCTTAAAGACCGGGGCTTGCGATTTCACCTTTTGGAGCAAATACTGGGCCCAAAATCTTAGGGACCAGGGCTTGCAATTTGACTCCGTGGAGCACAAATCGACCCGAAATCTTAGGGACCAGGGCTTGCGATTTGACTCTGTGGAGCACAAATCGACCCCGAAAACTTAGGGACCAGGGCTTTCCATTTGACTCTTTGGAGCAAAAATCGACCCAAAAATCTAAGGGACCAGGGCTTGCAAAACCCCCCCCCAGTTTTCTTCTCCAAACACTCAAATCGCAAGCCCTGGTCCCTAAGATTTTGTGTTCATTTTTTGCTCCAAAGAGTGACATCGCAAGCCCTTGTCCCTAAGATTTTGGGCCCAGTTTTTGGTTCAAAGAGTCAAATCGCAAGCCCTGGTCCCTAAGATTTGGGGCCCAGTTTTTGCTCCAAAGAGTCAAACGGAGCAAAAATTGAACCCAAAATCTTAGGGACCAGGGCTTGCGATTTGACTCTTCGGAGCAAAAACTGGGCCCAAGATCTTAGGGACCAGGGCTTGCGATGTCACTCTTTGGAGCAACAATGAATGCAAAATCTTAGGGACCAGGGCCTGCGATTTGACTGTTTGGAGCAAAAATTGAACCCAAAATCTTAGGGACCAGGGCTTGCGATTTGACTCTTTGGAGCAAAAACTGGGCCCCAGATCTTAGGGACCAGGGCTTGCGATGTCACTCTTTGGAGCAAAAAATGAACCCAAAATCTTAGGGACCAGGGCTTGCGATTTGACTCTTTGGAGCAAAAACTGGGCCCCAATTCTTAGGGACCAGGGCTTGCGATGTCACTCTTTGGAGCAAAAAACGAACCCAAAATCTTAAGGACCAGGGCTTGCGATGTCACTCTTTGGAGCAAAAATTAAACCCAAAATCTTAGGGACCAGGACTTGCGATGTCACTCTTTGGAGCAAAAACTGGGCCCCAAATCTTAGGGACCAGGGCTTGCGATTTGACTCTTTGGAGCAAAAACTGGGCCCAAAATCTTAGGGACCAGGGCTTGCGATGTTACTTTTTGGAGCAAAAACTGGGCCCCAAATCTTAGGGACCAGGGCTTGCGATGTCACTCTTTGGAGCAAAAATTGAACCCAAAATCTTAGGGACCAGGACTTGCGATGTCACTCTTTGGAGCAAAAACTGGGCCCCCAATCTTAGGGACCAGAGCTTGCGATGTCACTCTTTGGAGCAAAAATTGAACCCAAAATCTTAGGGACCAGGGCTTGCGATTTGACTCTTCGGAGCAAAAACTGGGCCCCAAGCGATGTTACTCTTTGGAGCAAAGATTGAACCCAAAATCTTAGGGACCAGGGCTTGCGATTTGACCCTTTGGAGCAAAAACTGGGCCCAAAATCTTAGGGACCAGGGCTTGCGATTTGACTCTTTGGAGCAACTGGGCCCAAGATCTTAGGGACCAGGGCTTGCGATGTCACTCTTTTGGGCAACAAATGAGCCCAAAATCTTAGGGAGCAGGGCTTGCGATTTGACCCTTTGGAGCAAAAACTGTGCCCAAAATCTTAGGGACCAGGGCTTGCGGTTTGACTCTGTGGAGCAAAAATTGAACCCGAAATCTTCGGGACCAGGGCTTGCGATTTGACTCTTCGGAGCAAGAAATGAGCCCAAAATCTTAAGGGCCAGGGCTTGCTTTGGAGCAAAAAACTGAGTCCAAAATCTTAGGGACCAGGGCTTGCGATTTGACTCTTTGGAGCAAAAACGGGGCCCCAAATAATAGGGACCAGGGCTTGCGATGTTACTCTTTGGGGCAAGAAATGAGCCCAAAATCTTAGGGACCAGGGCTTGCGATGTTACTCTTTGGGGCAAGAAATGAGCTCAAAATCTTAGGGACCAGGGCTTGCGATGTCACTTTTGGAGCAAAAACTGTGCCCTAGTATTGGGGGGAGGAGGGCTCGTGATTTAGTATTGGGAGGAGGCCCGGGCTCGTAAATTAGTATTGGGGGGAGGCCCGGGCTCGTGATTTAGTATTGCGGGAGGCCCGGGCTCGTGATTTAGTATTGGGGGGAGGCCCGGGCTCGTGATTTAGTATTGGGGGGAGGCCCGGCCTCGTAATTTGGAGGCGCGGGCTCGTGATTTAGCCCGGGCTCGTGATTTAGTATTGGGGGGAGGCCCGGGCTCGTGATTTAGTATTGCGGGAAGGCCCGGGCTCGTAATTTAGTATTGGGGGGAGGCCCGGGCTCGTGATTTCGTATTGGGGGGAGGCCCGGCTCGTGGTTTAGTGTTGGGGGGAGGAGGATGCCCCAGCCCCCACCCCCCATTTGGAAATAAATGAATTACTTGAATTAATTGAAATAATTGAATTAATTCAATTAATTCAATTAATTGATTTATTTCCAAAGGGGAGGTGGAATTAATTTAATTAATTGAATTATTTCAATTATTTCAATTAATTCAAGTAATTCCATTTATTGTCAAATGGGGGGGTCCCCCAGCCCCCACCCCCCCTTTGGAATAAATGAATATTGATTAATTGAATTTTAATGAATTAATTGAATTAATTGAATTAATTGAATTAATTTGAATTAATTGGAATTAATTCAATTAATTCAATTAATTCCACCTCCCCTTTGGAAATAAATGAATTAATTGAATTAATTGAATTAGTTGAATTATTTCGATTAATTCAATTAATTCAATTAATTAATTTATTTCCAAATGGGGGGGATTCCCCAGCCCCCACCCCTCCCC